GTGTGTGTGGGCTGATTGCAGGTGTGTGTGTGTGTGTGTGAGTGTGTGTGTGTGTGTGTGTGTGTGTGTGTGTGTGTGAGTGTGTGAGTGTATGTGTGTGTGTGTTTCTGTGTGTGTGTGATGGTTGTACAGAGATTTTGTCCGATCTGGTTGTATAGAGTGCGTACATGCTGGTTATAGGGTGAGTGAGACTGTGTGGGTATCATGGGTATGTAGAGTATGTGTGAGTGCTGGTGGTATTGTGCATGTGTGTTTGCTGATTGTATAGAGTGGGTGTATGTGTTTGTGTTCCAGAGAGTGTTTGGGTGCTGGTAGTGTAGATTGTGTGTGTGTGCTAGTTGAACAGTATTTGCATGTGCAGGTGTACAAATTGTGTGTGTAAATGCTGGTTTGACTTCCGTGAGTGTATCTGCTGGTTGTACAGAATTGGGGTGTGAACCGGTACACTAGAGTGTGTGCATGCTGGTTATAGCGTGTGAGTGTGTGTGCTGGTGGTACAGAGCATTTGTGGGTGCGCTAGTTGCATAATGCGTGTGTGTTCTGGTGATTTTGAGTGCGTGTATGTTTTGGTTGTACAGGGTGTTTGTGCATGCTGGATGTCTAGAGTGTGTGTGGGCTGATTGCAGGTGTGTGTGTGTTTCTGTGTGATGGTTGTACAGAGATTGTCTCGGAGCTGGTTGTATAGAGTGTGTGCATGGTGGTTGTAGAGTGAGTGGGACTGTGTGGGTATCATGGGTATGTAGAGTATGTGTGTGACGGTGGTGGTATTGAGTATGTGTGCTTGGGTTGGGCCGGGATGTGACTATGTGTTTGTTGTACAGAGAGTGTTTGGGTGCTGGTTGTGTGGAGAGCGTGTGTGTGCTTGCTGGAAAGTATTTGCGTGTGCTAGTGTTCAAAGTGTGAGTGTAAATGCTGGTTTGATCCAGTGTGTGTATCTGCTGGTTGTTTGGAATTTCTATGTGAACCAGTTCTATAGAGCGTGTGCATGCTGGTTATAGCGTGTGAGTGTGTGTGGTGGTTGTACAGAGTGCTTGTGTATGCTGGTTGTGTTGAGGGCGGTGAGCTGATAGTTGTATGGAGTTTGTGCGCGTGTGGTGCATGTCGAGTGTGTGTGTGCGCACTTGTGGCGGATAGAGTTTTCACCCTGATGGCACCACACACCATCATGAACCCTCTCCAACCTCTTTGCTTCTTTAATGTGCGCATTCGAAACCACCCTGCCGTCGTTATGCAGGTTTCCGTAGTAATCCTTGAGGGTCTCATTACGGACGCACACATGTATGTGTTGCGTTTCTTCGTGAAATGGTTCGACACGTATTTTCGCGCATCAACATTCACAGAAGCGAAGTTGACCGCTTACGTCAAGGAGACCGCCGAGTACGTATCATGCAAACTGGTTTGTGGCTGAGGTTATGCACGGAATGAGTGTTGATAAACCCTAACCATACTGTGTTATCTTTTGTACCTATCCATTGCCAACCCTCCAGATTGGTTGAGCTCTTACACAAACATCTGAAGCGTACAGGAGACGGATGGCAGTTGCCGAAAATCCATTTGCTAACGCATTTTCCAGATTCTGTCCGACGTGGTGGGGCCCCTAATGAGTACTGCACGGGCCTGTATGAGCATGCACACACCACCACATGCAAGCAACCATTCCGTGCCTCTAATTTCCGCCAGTACGATGAAGCGATTTTGCGCAGTGTCCAATTGAGAAACATGCTCAGCCAACGTGAATCAGCTATCGGTGGCTCGTCAACCTACGAGACCGCGTTACTGAAGGTGAGGTTCCAACGCTAGCGTCTATAAAATAATTCCAATGGTTCTTCCTTTGAACTTCCAAGTGCACGCGTTCTTCTAACCTTTGCCTGTACAATTTGTCTTGGATTTGAGATGTCTCGAAGTTTTGATTCGTTTATACTACCACAGGCGGACCGTGTTCGTTCGAGCGTGCTAACAAAGACGTATGATACAGTGGACCTGCCTGCGGGGGACCAAGCAAGAAGAGGGGCATCAACTTGGCAGGGATATGTGCAGTGCCATGGAGATAGTATGCAGTACCTTCCGGCATGCCTCGAGGAGCTGGGCCTATCAGCCAGCGCCATACATGTGAGTGTAGTGTGTGATTGTTGTCTTGTGTGTGTGTGTTTGTGTGTGTATGTGTATGTGCGTGTGTGCATGTGAGTGTATGTGTGTATGTATGTGTGTGTGTGTGTGTGTGTGTGTGCGTGCGTGCGTGCGTGTGTGTGTGTGTGCGTGTGTGTGTGTGTGCTGCTTGTACAATGTATGTGTCTGCCTTGGTTGTACAAGATGTCTGTATGCTCAACCATGTATTATGTTGTGCACACGTGTCATTCCATTTTCTTTTCCATCGGTTGTGCATCCCTGCCTTTCAGGTCCATTCAGCACTTGCCATTCCAGCAAGCGGAGAGAGGGAGGCACACTATGTTCGCGCAACACCTAGCTTCCATGGGTCACCCGCATTTTCACGTGTTGCCATACTTCAGACTGTTACAGACCCATTCGGGCAGCAGGAGAACATCACAACATATGCAGACCTGCTCATGCTTTTCCACGTAGGCACGCGACGAGAGGATGGTGAGCCTACGGCGCTGGCGTACGTGCGATTGTATGAGACGGGTGGAGTGGACGAGAAGACTTCATGCGTGCAGCTCTTTTTGAGGGATATGCATCTCCGACACTACGTCATTGATGCACGGTCCATTTTGCGCTCCGTCCATATTGTGCGATCATACCGGGATCGGTCAACCTTCATCCTCAATCGCTATGTTGCATCGTAGACAATGTTGTTATGTTCTTATGTTCAAAACACTCTCAATTGTTGAAGGTGCATGGCGCAACTGACTACCGACCCTACAACTTGTGTTGACTATAAATATTTTCGATTAAAGGCATTAGCAGTAAACAAAAGGCAAAACTCCGCTCACTGTGGTTTTCTTTTTATTTTATCCGAAGCATATTATCAATGCAATATTTAGATACTTCATACTTTGACTTATGTGGGGCTTGTTCAAAACTTCTTACGATGGAACGTAATAATTTCACTAAGAGTGTTTACAAACAATGTAATAATATTACATTTTTTTAGCGCCAACACAGCAGATTAGGTCAAGACCTACAGCCAATGGGTCACCAGCGCCATGTTCCTGGCCTCCCTCACAGCTCCCGAAGCTGAAATGTCCAGCCGAGCACGCAAACCAAGCTGCTCGGCCACTGGGGGGAGTTCCGAAGCTGACAGCTTAGCTGCCCGAAGCACTTTCGAGAATTCCGAAGCTGCCTGGGCTGATTTCGTTTCGACGCGACGCGTCGAAAGTATGTTTCCCCACTCGGTTCATTTTGTTACTCACGTCATACTCCTCAAAACCATACTTTTCGAGACCCCCCTTTTTTGGGATGACGGTACTGCTGCTCCGTTATTAGTTGCTCCGTTAATCGCCGCAGTTTCGAGATGCTGTCCTCCACCGTTTGTACGCGATATACAACACCCCATGGCTGCTTATTGGGGTGAAAGTGCAATCCGCTTGTTCAAGCCTTTACTTCCCGTTTCAACGCGACTCGACCATGGGCTCGCGGCTCGATCACTCGCGGCTCGAAAATGGATTCGCGGCTCAGTTGATTCGCCCTCGCTGTCAAGTTACACGACAATTAAAGGTCCCTAGAGTTTTAACCCTGGACAATGCTGATTCTGACGACGAAGGTTGGGCAGCATAAGAAGTCGATATATACACCTGCTAGGAGGACAAGGTAACGAATTTGCGGGACGCCTCGAGAACTTTATTTAACCTGAAACCGACGGGAGTGCAGCATGACAAGACTCCAGAGTATGCTTGGTGTGGAAACAAGGAGCGGATCTAAACGCGTACAGACGCTCAGGGTCTAAGTTTCTCACGTAAGACTGACCGTCGTTTATTGAGTTATTAGGAGTAAAACCTATTGGGGACGGAAACTAGGACTTAGGGCGTATTCCTAGCTTCGGGTCATCCGGTGTTTGTGTCATCCGAAAATTGAGGTAGCCAATCGGAAAACCCGCGGTTCGAAATTTGATTTTTTCGATTGGATAACGCAAATTTCGGAGGACCCGAAGCCAGGAATACGCCCTTAGACAGTTACAGAGTAGAATTCTGAAGTGCGATGAGGCAAGTGAAAGATCTGTCAAATCTGACAAACGGGACGTTTCACAAACGCGACGCGGCTATCTGAGTTGCCCTGACACGGCGTAGAAAGGCGACTGGTGCAAGTCAGGAAATACGCGTTACGCGGCCTTCGATATCAACAAGTGAAACTGACACGGTAAAAAAATAAACTTCCAGGCTTACAGCTTTGGTGTGCTAAAATTTTCCGCCTGTACGAAAATGTGCGAGTCGCACCCAGTGCTGTTTCGCGGTGTCCTCCTCAAATATCGTCTGACGTCATCTTACCTCCAGCAGACTGCTGGCAAACCCTCGTCACTTGGTGACCTGGCGCAAGCTATCTGCGCTAGCGTGCCAGACGTACTTCAGCCTGCGGTTCGGAGTGGCATTTTGGCTCGCGTCTCCTTGCTTCGATTTAATCGAACGACCTCCAAACCTCCACCGCTCCCCAGCCTCCCTTACCTCCACCAAAGCCGAAGCAATTCCAAAGGCAAGGCAAAGCAAGTTTCCTGTCCCAGACCACACCAAACGATCTACTTCCGCATTCTGGAAACCTGGTTTGGGACGTCCACTAGAGCTTCTTGAAATTCTGATTTGGTTCACAAGGCTTGGACGTCCACCCGAGCATCTTGAAATTGTGATTTGTATGTCCTTCCATTGTCGAAACAATTCTAGCATTTGTTCTTTACATAGCTATCGCTCATCTGCTATCAGCACAGAACTCGCCGACCACGTTCCGTAGTACTGAGAGGCTATCGAAAGAGGCGATCCTCCCGTGAAGAGCCTTTGTTTTCTGCTCGTTTATCAGGATTCAGGTACCTCCACTGGTCTGGTAGCTCGAGAGTTCACATGGCGGAGCCGCGTCAGATCGTGGTTGCGATGGATGCTCGCGAGGGGAGCCGCGACGCGTTCTACTGGGCGTTAGAGAATTTGATAAAGCCGGAGGACCACGTCACGCTCCTTAATGTCCGACCCACCCGCGCCACAATTCTTCCCACGCGCACGGGTAATCTCCCCACATGCGCAGGATCCTCCCAATAGGTGGTGACGCGCTTTTCGGTTGTTGAGACTACGCGTGGGCCACTTTCCGTAGGCGACGGGCTTTCCGTTGTTCCGACGGCTGTGGTCGCCTCTCGCGGAGATCTCTTTTCGAAAATCGAAGGGTTTGAACCGCAGCAAGACGACGGCTGTGATCCGGGCGGGGTCGTGTGCTGATGCGCATAAAAAAAGCGCAAGTAATTCGTGGCATTACTAATCGTTGTTGCGTCTCGACCGTTTCACTGTGCTTGTACCAGACTCCCGTGCTTGTATCAAAACCCCCTTTCTCTGCAAAAATTTGTCGCCATGCCATCCCATGCCATGCCGTGCCATAACATACCATTTTATTCTTTTATGTCACTCTAATGCCATACCACGCCACACCATGCACCTCATGCCCTCACCACATGCCATACAATCATCACATGCCACACCATGCACCACGTGCCATCGTCCACCTCACCATGCAGACCTGTTAGCATCATCAGGAGGACAGGGCGATGGCGATGGGTACATGCTGGCAATTGAGCCGTCTCCCATGTTACCCCCCAACCCTTCCCCACCCCACCATCCATCCGCACTCCTCTTGATGCGTAACATACAATCTGCGCAGACCTGTCAGCATCGTCAGGAGGACAGGGAGACGGCGATGGGAATATGCTGGCCATGGAGCAGATTTCCACTCTACACCCCTCACCCCAACCCCCGCCCGGCCCAATCATCCCATCCCAACCCAATCGATGCTTTCTCTATCTCACATACGAACCATGCAGATTTGTCAGCATCATCAGGAGGGCAGGGCGACGACGACGATGGGTACATGCTGGCCATGGAGCAGATTCTTAATGACGTCATTCACAAGGCGCATGAACGCTTCCCTGTAAGCAACGTGACACTAAACAAATCGGTACACCTTGTAACGCGTATGAAAATAACACCGAAGGGTACATGCTGGCCACGGAGCAGATCTTAAACCACGTCATTCACGTGGCGCATGAACGTTTCCCTGCACGCGTGCAACGTGATACAAACGAATCAGTGTGTCTCTTATAACGCGTATGCAAGTCACACTAGTGGATGCTCGCTGGCATCCACAAGGCACATGAATGCGTCCCTGTGAGTAACGTGACTCTAACAAGTGGGTGGGTGTACCTGAGGCGTTACAGGAGGTGCGCGCATGAATGCTGTCCTCTAGGTGAATCACCTTTGAGAATTCTCATAAGCAACGTGACTCTAACAAGTGGGTGGGTGTACCTGAGGCGCCGCAAAAGGGTGCGCGCATGAATGCTGTCCTCTACGTGCGGGTGCATGCATGCATGCATATACGGAAAGGGGTTTTCAGGTGCTAGGGAGATGGCACCGTTGGGTGCATGTTGGTCTGTTTCATTCTTGAGACCATTTAAAAGCCAAAGATGGGTGCATGTTGGTCATATAGCATATCTTAAACGGCGGTCTCTAGATGCCGCGCAAACACTTTCTCTCAAGTAAATGTGACACTAACCAGTGGGTGGGTGTACCAGGCGACCTGTCCTCAAGCACCGTATCCTCGACGAGGTGGTCCTAGGGGCCGCTGCTCCCTGTTCCTTTCTCTTCAACCCTCTTTACCTCTCGTCACCACTCTTCACCTCCCCCTCTCCTAAAACCATCAAGTCGGCTCACCCCAAGCATCTCGCTCTCGACTCTGCTGCCCTCCCTGTCTGCCCTTTTTACCCTCTCACCCTCGATCCGCCCCTCTCTCTCCTCTTTTCATCGCTCTTCACCGCTCTTCACCGCTCTCTCCCAGGTCTCAAGGTGGACAACGCCATCAAGTCGGGCGACCCCAAGCACATCATTCTCGACAAGGTGGTCGTCAGGGACACTGCTGCTCCTCTCTTCACCCCTCTTCATCTCTCCTCACCCCTCGTAATCCCTCGTCACCCCTCTGCACCTCTCTATACCTCTCTCTCAGGGCCTCAAGGTGGACAAGGCCATCAAGTCGGGCGACCCCAAGCACCTCATTCTGGACGAGGTGGTCATCAGAGACGCAGCAGCGCTGGTCATGAGCTCCAGGGGGCTCAGCCCGGTGCAGAGGTATGTAAAGGGGTGTCCTGAGGAGGGCATTCATGGGGTGGGCCGCAGGCGACTTTGAGCACCTCATTCTGGACGAGGAGGTCGCCGTCAGGGACGCTGCAGCGCTGGTCATGAGCTCCTGAGGGCTCAGTCCGGTTCAGAGGTGTGTAACTGAGTGTGTGAGTATGGCGTGGATGGGGCAGCAGGCGGACAGCACCTCATTCTCGACGAGGTGATGGTCAGGGACGCGGCTGCGCTCGTGATGAGCTCGCAATTCAGTCCGGTGCAGGGGTGTGTGCATGCCTGCTCTAAGCAGGGTGCTTGATGGGGCAGCAGGCGGACAGCACCTCATTCTCGACGAGGCGATGGTCAGGGACGCGGCTGCGCTGGCCGTAAGCTCCCCGGGGGCTCATCCCGGTGCAGAGGTGTGTGCATGGCGCGTGTGACTCTGAAGGGAACTGCTGACTGGTCCAAGTAGGGTGGTGGATGAGGCAGCACCTTATCCTCCCTCCCCAATTTTCCCTCCCCAATTCTCCCTCCCCAATCCTCCCTCCCCGAACCTCCCTCTCCCATACTCCCTCCCCCATCCTCCCTTCCCCATCCTCCCTCCCCCATCCTCTTTTCCCCATCCTCCCTCCCCAATCCTCCCTCCCCCCAACTCCCTCCCCCACCCTCCCTCCCCCATCCTCCCTCCCCCATCCGCTTTCTCCCACCCTCCCTATCCCATCCTCCCCTCTCTCCCCTGTCCTTTTCAGGGCCTTCCTTGGCTCAGTCAGTGTTGCTGCTTTCCAATCTCTTCACCACTCTTCTTCCCCTTCATCTTTCCCTTCTCCCCCGTCCTCCCCCCTCCCCCCTTTCAGGACCTTCCTTGGCTCAGTTAGCGACTACTGCTCTCCCTCACGCCCCTCTCATCCTTCTAATGGTCAGCAACTAACTCTCTCTCTTGCCTCCTCTCCCTCCCCCCTCCCCCCTCAGGGCCTTCCTTGGCTCAGTCAGCGACTACTGCTCTCGCAATGCAGGTGAGGGATGGGACATGCAAGCACAGGTGAGGGATGGGACATGCAAGCACAGGTGAGGGATGGGACATGCAAGCACAGGTGAGGGATGGGACATGCAAGCACAGGTGAGGGATGGGACATGCAAGCACAGGTGAGGGATGGGACATGCAAGCACAGGTGAGGGATGGGACATGCAAGCACAGGTGAGGCGGGCAAACAGAGGTGAGGCGGGCAAACAGAGGTGAGGCGGGCAAACAGAGGTGAGGCGGGCAAACAGAGGTGAGGCGGGCAAACAGATTCCCACATCTCATTCCCATTCCTCCCATTTTGATTGTTCATTCTCTCTTCTAAGTGGCAAGTCTTGAGGCACCTCAGAAGAAGTTTAATCTCTCATCCAAGTTGTCATTCCCTTGTCAACGCGGAAGCATTCCAGTCACACCACTCCCTCTTGAGTCGACTCTAAAGGATGTGACTTTTGAGTGGACCCAAAGCGAGACGATTTTTGAGTCGACTCAAAACAAGGTGACTTTTGAGTTGACTAAAAACGAGATGACTTTGAGTCGTCTCAAACCGAGGTGACTTTTGAGTCGACTCAAAACGAGGTGACTTTTGAGTCGACTTAAAGGTCACCAGGTTGTCATTCTCTTGTCGCCCCTGCCCGTTCTCCCCTTCCCACGCTCCCTATCCACAACCCCTATCCCACATCCCCTGCGCAAGCTATATTGGGATCATTTTTGTGAATTTGCAAAAGCAACCCCTATCCCACAACACCTATTCCACAACCCCTATCCCACAACCCCTATCCCACAACCCCTATCCCACAACCCCTATCCCACAACACCTATTCCACAACCCCTATCGCACAACTCCTATCCCACAACCCCTATCCACATCCTCTGCCCCATCACATCTCCTGACCATTGAGTTTACTCAAAATCATCTCTGATTTTTTTGCCTGCCAACATCCCCACCCTACCATGTCTCCTCTTTGTTCATTTCTCCCCTGCCTTGCCATATTTCCTTGTTGCTTTGGCTGTGGCAGAGTGTCCGGTGATTGTTGTGAGAGGCAAATCAGCCCACTGATTCCAATGCATGCGCTCTTCTTGTTTACCCTCTACTGGTACTTGTTTCTGAAAGTAGCACGTAGCCAGACAGGTTTTACTTTGTGCAAACCAGCATGTTTATTAAGTTTTATATGCACATCTGCCAGTCATACTTTAAACAGTGACTCCAGTCACTCTATGCTGCAAATTTTGTGTTGCATTCTTTTGGTTACAATCAAGCGTCACATATCCCTTGGTTGAATTTGCAGTTTCATTTTAAAAACACGACCCCATATCATGTTAGAATTGCAGTGGACAATGAAGTCAACAAACAGTGAAACACACTTTAAGTTGTTATGAATGAACTTGCAGAGTGCGCAGAATAACGAATAACGAGAACACTTAACCACTGAATGACGATATAATGAAGTGACGTGACCTAAATAGGGGAAAACCTAGCTAGGCGGGGAGGTCGGGAAAGGATGGCTCGCAAAAGGTCATGATTGGTGCGGAGGCGACTCGGTGAGGTTAGGATGCGAAATTGTAGGCCGAACGTGAGACTCGCGTGGCCCTCGGGTTGTACTCGCTAAAGGGCGAGTATAGGAAGGAATTGTAATTCCTTACTGTACTCGCCCTTTAGTGAGTACATTCCGTGTTACTAATAAATCACCTTGTTCCTACTGCTGATAACACTACAATCATCAGCATCTCAAATATCGCGAATCCGTTTTTCTACAAAAAGACTCTTTTCAAGGTCACCTTCGAGGGTCCATCCAGACCGAGGTCAGCCCCTATCCAAGGGTCCGAGTTTGTTGAAAGAGTCTTTCAGTCGCGTACAGCCGTAACAGTGGAAGCCTTGTCATTGCGTAGGCAAAGAGTCATCTTTTAGTCAAACGTAAACTTGAATGCAGTGCGGGAAGAGCGCTTGATTGGCAGACTATGTGTTTTTATAACTCAGAACATACATTTTATATATCCTCTAGGCTGTTGCTAGTGCTAACTATCTAGCACTGTTAAACAATTCCTACTATTAACGCGGAGCGAGCATACACTTGGCCCGTGCTCCAAAAAGGCTGCTCGTGTGGTGCAGACTTGGCATGGGTTAACAGAGAATCAAGTCACAACAAGTTTAGAACAACAGTTAGGCAAGCAGGCATCAATCATCCTGTGTGCTCTCCACACAATAAGGCCCGTGCTCCAAGTAAGCAGCACGTGTGGTGCACACCTCTTGTCGGATGCGAAGAGAAAGGGAAGAGCGAAGAGATAAATATGACACACTGAGTTCATATGAGACAAAGAATCGATGCAAGGAGGTAACCATAATCCCAGTTGCATTGCAGCTGGATTCGACCCAAATCCAGTAGACAAAACTTCATCCTAGTTGCTCTGCTCGGAACACGTTGGGCCAGTGCTCCAAGTAGGCAGCTCGTGTGATGCACAGCTGCAAAAAGACTCCCAAAGAGGCTACCAAATAGAGAAATAAGAAACGCATGGCTTTTAGAACCAGATCACAACAGGAGGGGCCAACGGAAACCAATAACATTGGAAATTGACACAAAATGAGGCAACAACTGAGCCCCCAACCAGACGGCATGCTCCTCCAGATAAGGTTGGACACCAATGCCACCTCTATGTCAGATTCCCTTGGGCTTTAAGAAGGGGGAAGGGGTAAGGGGGTGGGGGAGGAGGGGGAGGGATGTTTGATAATTATGAAGAGATTTTTGTCCGAACCAGATAGCATGCTCCTCGAGATGGTGTGATACCACCGTCACCTCTGTGTCTGATGCCTTGAGCTTTAAACAGAGAGGGGGGGCGCGAGGAGGGGGGGATGAGGGGGGGGATGAGGGGGTATGAGGGAGATAGATGATATACAAGGTTGTGAAGTGAGAATGTAAACCAGACAGCATGTTCCTGCAGGTGGTGTGATACGACTGTCGTCACCTCTATGTGTGATGCATTGGGGTGGAAGAGGGAAGGAGGTGAAGAGAATGGGAGGGATGAGCAGTGGGGATGGTGTGCACATGGCTTGATCCAAAAGACGCATACTTCACTGTAAGCATGCTCACTGTAAGAACATCTCAGTAGAAGCATATCCCACTGTATTCATACTGTTAACGGGAGTGGAGTGTTGGCCCCGCCCTCGCTTGGGCAACGCCGACGACTTGGTCGGATGTACGGGAGTAGCAGCCGACCGTTCACAGTGGGAGAGCTGCTCGACAGGCTACGTCGAGCTGCAGGGGACCGCTGTGGCGTTGCTGTCGACCAAGGAGCTCGATAGCCGCATCTGACTGGCCTGGCCGACGGGTGGGCCGTCCGGGGAGGTCTGCGGAGCATCCCGTCGACCTACAGTTCGACGGGGAGGTCTGCGGAGCATCCCGTCGACCTACAGTTCGACGGGGAGGTCTGCGGAGCATCCCATTGACCTACAGTTCGACGGGGAGGTCTGCGGAGCATCCCGTTGACCTATAGTTCGACCGGGAGGTCCGCGAAGCATCCCGTCCACCTGCAGCTCGACCGGGAGGTTGACGAAGCAGTTCTGGTCGACGGAAGGGGTCCGTCGACCAGGGGGTAGCTCGACGGGAGCTGTGGTCGACCAGGGGCACCTGGTGGTCGACCAGAGGGAGCTGTGGTCGACCAGAGGCACCTGGTGGTCGACCGGAGGCGCTGGTGGTCGTCCGGAGCACCTGGTGGTGTCCGGGTCGACCGGGTAACCTGCTCGACGAGTTCTGCGGAGGCACGCGAACGTCGTCGAGGTCGCGATGGCGAAGGCGACTTCGGGATGGTATCCCGAAGTCAATGTGGCTCGTCAGGCGCAGACAACAGCCGACGGATGCACAGCAATGCAAGTCGGGCCAATCGTCTGCGCGCACCTGCGAGCGTGCGCACTGCTGTCTTCTACGGAGCAACGCTGGACAGCCGCACTGCTGCAGCGTTGGCACGCCGTCGACCTGCAATGTTGGCAGGTCGCTCTTCTGCAGTGCTGGCGCGGCTCCTCTACGCAACGCTGGCACGCGGTCGACCATGCATTGTTGGCGGTCGACCAGGCTAGCTGCAGAGTTGCTAGGTGCCTGATGTAGTCAGTTCTGTCATTGCTTGTTCTATCATTCTGTAATTCCAACTTTGCTAGTGGAAACTCTTGCCAATCTCTCCCGTGAATGCGCAAGTGCTAAGGAACCAAGCAAAGCTACGATCACTCCTAGTAGTTCGTGCCAACCCCCATAGTCTAGCTCACTACCGTTGTAGAGTGAATCTCCGCATGGTGCAGTGAGCGTGGACGGCCCCGCAAGTTACCTTTAGATAGGAGTCGACTTTTGCACCTCCTAAGTCGTTCGTAGGCCGGCAGCAGCGTTAGTCGTCATGGTCGACCCCGTTGTAGAAGCGGGCGTAGCGGACACCTTGGAGACACGCTTGGCTGATGCGAGGAGACGCCACGCAGATGGCGAGTACGGGACGATCCCCTTGACGATCGTCGAGTTGGGCATCCGGGCGCAGTGGGCGACGGAACACCCTTCCCGTCCTGCATCTCCTCGACCGGTGCGAAACGAAGGTGGCGTCGACGACGAGGTCGACCGTGGTGCACGAGTCAGCGGCAGTGAAGGCACGAGGCAGAGAGGGGTGATCAAGGTCGACGGTGGTGTCGACGGGATTCAAGCGCGGGTGCAGCGGTCGACGGCAGCCACTGGCAGCTCGCGGGTCGAGGCTGATGCTTGACGTCGATCCCCTCTACGAAGCGGTGGAGGTCTCTCAGCGACGACACATGTGACGGCGGGCGGGATTGCACCGGCGTATGGCTACCTCAAGTCTTTCTCGCCGGACCGGATCACCGTCGCCCCGCTGCAAGGTCGACGGGACCTCATCACCTGGAGGGAGTCGATAGAACCTCAGCTGGAGGTCGCCGGGCTGAAGGGCTTCGCCGACGGCACCGTGCCCATTCCGCCCGAGGAGGATGTCGAGCTGCGCGGGGAGTTTCGTGCGGCTCACCTGCTCACTTTCGTGGCCATCTCGAGGTGCTGCTCGCCGGTGGTGCAGCTAGCGCTCAGGAGCTGTCGAGAGCGACTTGATGCTGGTCACCAGGCATGGCACTTCATCCTGTCGACGTAACAGGAGAAGGACGACCTGTACATCGGACAGTTGGAGGAGAAGATGACTCACCTTCGGATGGGCGAGCAGGAGTCGGCGACGGACTACTGCAACCGTGCTCGACGGATCCTGGCGGAGATGCGGATGGCGGGCGCCGAGTACTCGACGGCGTCCTACATCACCCACGTCGTCAAGGGCCTGCCGCACAGCTACAACCTCATGAAGAGGATGATGATGGTGCCCGGCACGCGTGAGTCCCTCGACGAGGACTCCATCACCAGCTACATCCTTCAAGATGAGACGATGCGGGAGGCAGAACAGCCCACGGAGCTCCTTCCGCAGGCGAGCTACGCTGCACCGACGAAGCAGAATCGTCAGCAGGAGCAGCGCGGGAAGCCGGGCAGAGGTGGTAGCGGAGGTGGGCGGCCGAAGAAGGACGTCGACGAGAAGAAGTCGGCGTGGGACAAGGGCCGTGGTGGTAGTGGTCGACGGCGGGAGTGCTGGATCTGTGGCGACCCCGACCATCTCTCCTTCGAATGCCCCGACCGCGACGACAGCGACGAGGACGACAACAAGGGAGGCCGCGGTCGATCGGCCAGTCGTCGCCCCCGTCGAGATGAGAAGCCGCGCAAGGAGAAGAAGGCGTCGAAGAAGGCGTCGTCGACGAAGGAAGTCGACAGCTCCAGTGGCAAGGACCGAGGCGATGGGGAGGCGTCGTGCTCGATGGTCGGCGTGGTGGAGCCGACAGTCTCGCTGGCGCCGGAGGCTGGCGAGGACTTCCAGGCGGTGGCGGCAGCTGTGCAAGCCAACCCGATAGCGGAGCTGCTCGACAGCGGTTGCTCCCACCACCTGATGGGGATGAAGGCGGTCTTCGTTGACATGGGGTCGAGCGATGGCGTGAAGCATGTGCGTAGATTCAACGGCGCACTGCAGCCTGTTGAGGGTCGCGGAACCGTCGCTCTGCAAGGGGAAGCTGGGAAGCGGGTCCTCATTCCCGACGTACTCTACGTTCCGGGCGTACAAGCGAACCAGCTGTCCGCTGGCCAGCTGAAGGAGAGCGGAGTGCAGCTGCAGGGTGACGGCGATGATTCGGATGCTGCTCGTCACAGCGACCGGGGAGGTGCTCGGTCGAGCACGCTACACCGGACGAGTCCTCTGCACCGACCTTCGCCCCAGCTCGACGCAGTCGCCGTCAACCGAGGTGCTGGCTCTGCGGAAGATCGTCTCGGCGGCAAAGGTGACTCCCAACAGGCTGCACGCGAGGCTCGCGCACGTTGGCATCGACATAATCAAGAGCTCGGCGAAGCATGACGTTGCTACTGGGCTCGACATCACGCCGTCGACCGGAGCAGACCCGCCGGAGGAAAGCTGGCACGGCACACCTTCCCCGACAAGGGCTCGGACGCCGAGGAGGCACTGGCTGTCGTGCACATTGACTTGTGCGGGCCGTTTCGAGTAGCTGCCAAGGATGGCAGCTTGTACTTCCTGCTGCTGAAGGATCGGCACACTCGATTCATGTGGGCAATGCCGGTCGCTAAGAAGAGCGACGTGCTGCGGGAGTTTCAGAAGTGGCTGGTGCTGGTGGAACGGCAGACGAAGAAGTCGGTACTGTCGCTCCGCCCTGACCAGGGGGGGGGGGGGAGTTCCTCGGACGGGATTTCACCAACTTCGTCGACGGGAAGGGCATCGTTTACGACCTGACCTGCCCCTACACTCCGCAGCAGAATGGCATGGCTGAGCGGGAGATGCGCACGGTCGTCGAATCCGTGCGGACAATGCTGCTGCACATGGGCGTGCAGCATCACTGGTGGCACCTCGCTCTTCGACAGGCCGTCTAGGTCCGCAACTGCTTGGAGCGGTCGACGACGCCGCCGGGGACGACTCCGTACCAGCTGCTGACCGGGACGAGCCCGAACTCACGTTGGTACGGGTGTGGGGCTGCATGGTGCAGTTCATGGTTCCCGAGCAGCAGCGCGGTGGAAAACTGGCACCGAAGGCTCGCTGGGGGCTTCACCTGGGCGTGTCTCCGGTGAGCAAGGGCTGGGAGGTGCTCGACCTGACCGACAACAAGGTGGTCACGTCGGTCGAGGTGATCTTCTACGAGACGCTGTCGCTGGAGGTGTGGAAGGCAAAGTACGGGACTGCGTCGGGGCGGACGCATGCACACCCGCTGACCGACACCTCGACGGCGACGGTCCCGCTGCTCACCGACGTCGACGAGTCTGCTAATGAGGATGTTGTCGAGGTTTCTCCACCTTCCCCTGTTCTTGCTCCTCCCTGCCCTGTCGCCGATCGGCCTGCGTCGACACCTGTGTCGGCCGCCGGCGATGAGGGGAGCCTTGAGGCGTCGCCTGTGGCGCCGGCCAGTGGCATCGCCGGCGGTCGACAAGGCGCCAAGCTCGTCGACCAGAATCGGAAGCCGTCGACGACAGGGGAGCAGCAGACAGGGGAGCCGGTCGAACAGGAGGCTGCAGCTGGTGTGCGGTCGTTAGGGGAGCAGCAGACGGGACCGTCGATAGGGGAGCTATCGAATTCGCCAGCAGGGGAGCAGCCGGTCGAAGGGTCGAAGCAGCTGGTCGACGAAGAAGGTGTCGACGAGGAAGGGGAGCTGTCGGCGGGAGAGGAGTCCACCGACAGCGACGTGGTGGAGGTTCCGGTCGAGAAGCCTGCATCGGAGCTGCGACGGTCTGGTCGAGCTCGACGGCCGCCGGAGAAGCTGAGCTACCACGCCTGCCTGCCACCAGCTGCCTTCACCACGGTGTACGACGAGGTCGATGACGACCTGTTGTACGACGACGTCGAGGAGGATGAAGACCTACCAGAGCTCGACCCTGACGTGTATGCCGACCTCGGACACCGCTGGGACATCGCCACGATGACGGTGAAGGAGGCGCTGGTGAGCTAGAACGGTCCGGCGGTGAAGGCCGCCATGGAAGAAGAGATCCGCAGCCTCATCGGCATGGGCACTTGGGAGCTGGTCGAACGCCCACGCGGAGTGAACATCATGAAGAACCGGTGGGTGCTGATAACCAAGTACCGCATCAACGACACCGTCGAGCGCGAGAAGGCGAGGCTGGTCGTGAAGGGCTTCACGCAGGTGTACGGTGCCGACTACGACGAGACGTACTCGCCGGTGAGCAGCTACGTCACGCTGAGGATCTTCCTCAGCATCGTCGCTGTCCTCAACCTCAACCTGATGCAGCTCGACATGAAGAACGCTTTCTTGCAGAGGCAACTCGACAGGGTGCTCTACATGTACCAGCCGGACTACTTCGACGATGGGACCGGCCGGGTGTGTAAGCTGCTGAAGAGCCTCTACGGGCTGAAGCAGTCGCCGCTGCTGTGGTACAGGGCTCTCGACGGGGTGCTGCTGGGTGCAGGTTGGAAGAAGAGCTAGCTCGACGAGGCGCTCTACTTCAAGACCGGCGACGACGGAGTGACCTGCTGGGTGCTGGTCTACGTCGACGACCTGCTCGCCGCCAGCAGCAGCACCGCGATGCTGAAGGAGTTGAAGGAGCTGCTGGAGGCCGCCTTCGAGCTGCGTGAGATCTCGCCGGTGGTGAAGTACCTTGGGCTGGAGATCGTGCGCGACAGGCCGGCCAGGAAGCTGTGGCTGCACCAACAGAACTACGCCGACAAGCTGCATAGGCGCTTCGAGTTCCGAAGTGTCAGGAATACTAGGAGTGGGGCCTAGGCTTAGTAGCCTAGGCCCACACTAAGAGGTAGTAGGATGTGCCCTAGGACTAGGGTTTGTGGTATACGAAGGAGAATTGGAGAAGTGAGAATGGGAATGATGAGTTGAACTAGCAAGCAGCAGGATACATATAGGAAACCCTAAGGGGTTGTACTCACTATTGAGCACCCCACTGCAGGCTAGACAAATAACATAATCTGACACACCCCCATAGCCAAAGTGGGGTGTAATCAGCACACGTGAGAAGTCACAGCAATAGTTCACAATTATCAGCAAAGCTAGTGGCAGTCACAGGAGGCCAGTGAGGAGGAGGAGGAACTGTGGAGGGAGAGAAGAGAGGAGGCGACGACTGAAGTTGCAGACACACGGGCACCAGGAGCACCAGGCTGCAACCTCCTCCAACTGTCTCACTCCCCCCTACACACACCCCCAGGGTCACCACTCGCTCCTCGCCCACATCACCCCCCTAGCGCCACTCCCTCGTCTCCCACACATCCACCCCCCCGCAGCGGCAGCTGCAGCAGTGGGAGACGGAGGAGAAGGAAGGGGCGACGCACAAGGAGCACCCCCACACCCGCCACCCCCACACCCTCCTGTCCAGGGGACGCAGGGGGGGGGGGGGGAGGGCCGGGGCGGGAGAGCGCACGAGGGCGCAGGCAACCGCGCGTGCAGAGCAACAGCGCGGAGCAGGTAGGGTAGAGCGCACGAGGGCGCGGGCAACCGCGCGTGCAGAGCAACAGCGCGGAGCAGGTAGGGTAGAGCGCACGAGGGCGCGGGCAACCGCGCGTGCAGAGCAACAGCGCGGAGCAGGTAGGGTAGAGCGCACGAGGGCGCGGGCAACCGCGCGTGCAGAGCAACAGCGCGGAGCAGGTAGGGTAGAGCGCACGAGGGCGCGGGCAACCGCGCGTGCAGAGCAACAGCGCGGAGCAGGTAGGGTAGAGCGCACGAGGGCGCGGGCAACCGCGCGTGCAGAGCAACAGCGCGGAGCAGGTAGGGTAGAGCGCACGAGGGCGCGGGCAACCGCGCGTGCAGAGCAACAGCGCGGAGCAGGTAGGGTAGAGCGCACGAGGGCGCGGGCAACCGCGCGTGCAGAGCAACAGCGCGGAGCAGGTAGGGTAGAGCGCACGAGGGCGCGGGCAACCGCGCGTGCAGAGCAACAGCGCGGAGCAGGTAGGGTAGAGCGCACGAGGGCGCGGGCAACCGCGCGTGCAGAGCAACAGCGCGGAGCAGGTAGGGTAGAGCGCACGAGGGCGCGGGCAACCGCGCGTGCAGAGCAACAGCGCGGAGCAGGTAGGGTAGAGCGCACGAGGGCGCGGGCAACCGCGCGTGCAGAGCAACAGCGCGGAGCAGGTAGGGTAGAGCGCACGAGGGCGCGGGCAACCGCGCGTGCAGAGCAACAGCGCGGAGCAGGTAGGGTAGAGCGCACGAGGGCGCGGGCAACCGCGCGTGCAGAGCAACAGCGCGGAGCAGGTAGGGTAGAGCGCACGAGGGCGCGGGCAACCGCGCGTGCAGAGCAACAGCGCGGAGCAGGTAGGGTAGAGCGCACGAGGGCGCGGGCAACCGCGCGTGCAGAGCAACAGCGCGGAGCAGGTAGGGTAGAGCGCACGAGCCCGCGCGTGCAGAGCAACAGCGCGGAGCAGGTAGGGTAGAGCGCACGAGGGCGCGGGCAACCGCGCGTGCAGAGCAACAGCGCGGAGCAGGTAGGGTAGGGCGGGCGGCTCCAGGGGCGGCTGCTGCAGTGGCGGGCGACTCCAGGGGCGGCTGCTGCAGTGGTGGGCGGCTCCAGGGGCGGCTGCTGCAGGGGCGGCTGCTCCAGGGGCGGCTGCTGCTGTGGCGGGCGACTCCAGGGGCGGCTGCTGCAGTGGCGGGTGGCTCCAGGGGCGGCTGCTGCAGGGGCGGCTGCTCCAGGGGCGGCTGCTGCTGTGGCGGGCGACTCCAGGGGCGGCTGCTGCAGTGGCGGGCGGCTCCAGGGGCGGCTGCTGCAGAGGCGGCTGCTCCAGGGGCGGCTGCTGCTGTGGCGGGCGACTCCAGGGTTGGCTGCTGCAGTGGCGGGCGGCTCCAGGGGCGGCTGCTGCAGGGGCGGCTGCTCCAGGGGCGGCTGCTGCTGTGGCGGGCGACTCCAGGGGCGGCTGCTCCAGGGGCGGCTGCTGCAGTTGCTGGCGGCTCCAGGGGCTGCTGCTGCAGTTGCTGGCGGCTCCAGGGGCTGCTGCAGCAGTTGCGGGCGGCTCCAGGGGCTGCTGCTGCAGGTGCTGGCGGCTCCAGGGGCTGCTGCTGCAGTTGCGGGCGGCTCCAGGGGCTGCTGCTGCAGTGGCGGGCGGCTCGAGGTGCGCCATGGCCTGGCGCAGTCTGTACGGGCCGCGCGCGGGCCTGGCGCAGCCCGTACGGGCCGCGCGCGGGCCTGGCGCAGCCCGTACGGGCCGCGCGCGGGCCTGGCGCAGCCCGTACGGGCCGCGCGCAGGCTGGACGGGCCGCGCGCGGGCCCTACGGAGGTCGCTCGGGCCACGACGGGCGACGGGGGGCGACGCGCGGCTCCCCGTCGCCCGTCGCAGCTCCTCCCGGGGGCGACTCGCGGAGTGACGGGGCAGAAAGCCGCCGCGCGCCTCGGGGCGCACGGCGGGCAGAAAACCGCCGCGCGCCTCGGGGCGCACGGCGGGCAGAAAACCGCCGCACGCTCCGAGCGCGCGGCGGGATGAAAAATTAGGGTTTGGCCGCCGCGCACCACGGGGCGCGCGGCGGACAGTACGGCAGCGGAAGCAGGTGGTGGGCCCATACAGGAAGGCGGCAGGAACGTGCCTGCTCTGAATACCATGTCAGGAATACTAGGAGTGGGGCCTAGGCTTAGTAGCCTAGGCCCACACTAAGAGGTAGTAGGATGTGCCCTAGGACTAGGGTTTGTGGTATACGAAGGAGAATTGGAGAAGTGAGAATGGGAATGATGAGTTGAACTAGCAAGCAGCAGGATACATATAGGAAACCCTAAGGGGTTGTACTCACTATTGAGCACCCCACTGCATGCTAGACAAATAACATAATCTGACACGAAGACGCCGGTCTCGGTCGACGCCTACGCTGAGCTGACGTTCGACGACGAGGAGGCCCAGGAGCGCGAGGAGGAGGAGTACCGGCAGAAGGTCGGCTCGCTGCAATTCGCGGCGACGACGACGAGGCCGGACATCGCCTTTGCCTGCAGCAAGCTGGGGAGCGGCCTCATGGTGAGGAGCGACCGACATTGGCGTGAGGTCGACCGCTGCCTCGCCTACCTCGCCGACACCCGCGACACCGCCCTGGAGTTCGGCGGTGGACCAGAGTCGCTGGAGCTGATCGGCTACGTGGATGCCGACGACGCGGGCGACAAGCAAAAGCGGAAGAGCACGGGAGGCTACGTGTTCGTCTACGGAGGGGCCGCTGTCTCCTGGTCGAGCTCGCGCATCAAGTGCGCGACGCTCTCCTCGACCGAGTCGGAGTACGTCGCGGCCACGGATGCTGGGAAGGAGGGGTGTCGACTTCGCTTCATCCTTGCAGAGTTCAAGTCGCTAGACCCAGGGAAGCCGACTGTCCTCCGCGTGGACAACAAGTCGGCGATCACGGTCGCTGAGGGCATGGGGTTGACGGGCAACCTCAAGCACATGGAGCGATGCTACGCCTGGCTGCAGCACATGGTGAGGCGCGGGAAGTTCGCGCAGAAGTACATCCCAACCACCGAGAAGCCGGTGGACTTCCTGACGAAGGCGCTGCACTTTCCGGCCTTCAACCGGTGCTCTGTCGCCATCGGCCAAGTTCGCCTGGCTGACGTCGGTGACGTCCACGATGATGTGCAGTAGTAGGTGCCGCACCCTTCGGCACGACTGGTGCGGTGACGGCGTGCTGGTGCGGTGCACGCCGAGGACGAGTTTTCTCCGTGGAGTACTGCCGTGTGGGCTGGAGGCCCAAGCGTGAGTGCGGCAGGGGAGTGCTAACAGGAGTGGAGTGTTGGCCCCGCCCTCGCTTGGGCAACGCTGCTACACGACTTGGTCGGATGTACGGGAGTAGCAGCCGACCGTTCACAGTGGGAGAGCTGCTCGACAGGCTACGTCGAGCTGCAGGGGACCGCTGTGGCGTTGCTGTCGACCAGGGAGCTCGACAGCCGTATCTGACTGGCCCGGCCGACGGCTGGGCCGTCCGAGGAGGTCTGCGGAGCATCCCGTCGACCTACAGTTCGACGGGGAGGTCTGCGGAGCATCCTGTCAACCTACAGTTCGACGGGGAGGTCTGCGGAGCGTCCCGTCGACCTGCAGCTCGACCGGGAGGTCCGCGAAGCATCCCGTCCACCTGTAGCTCGACCGGGAGGTTGACAGAGCAGTTCTGGTCGACGGAAGGGGTCCGTCGACCAGGGGGTAGCTCGACGGGAGCTGTGGTCGACCAGGGGCACCTGGTGGTTGACCAGAGGGAGCTTTGGTCGACCAGAGGCACCCGGTGGTCGACCGGAGGAGCTGGTGGTCGTCCGGAGCACCTGGTGGTGTCCGGGTCGACCGGGTAACCTGCTCGACGAGTTCTGCGGAGGCACGCGAACGTCGTCGAGGTCGCAATGACGAAGGCGACTATCCCGAAGTCGATGTGGCTCGTCAGGCGCAGACAACAGCCGACGGATGCACAGAAATGCAAGTCGGGCCAATCCTCTGAGCGCCCCTGCGAGCGTGCGCACTGCTGTCTTCTACGGAGCAACGCTAGACAGCCGCACTGCTGCAGAATTGGCACGCCGTCGACCAGCAATGTTGGCAGGTCGATCTTCTGCAGTGCTGGTGCGGCTCCTCTACGCAACGCTGGCACGCGGTCGACCATGCAGTGCTGGCGGTCGACCAGGCTAGCTGCAGAGTTGCTAGGTGCCTGATGTAGTCAGTTCTGTCATTGCTTGTTCTATCATTCTGTAATTCCAACTTTGCTAGTGGAAACTCTTGCCAATCTCTCTTGTGAATGCGCAAGTGCTAAGCAACCAAGCAAAGCTACGATCACTCCTAGTAGTTCGTGCCAACCCCCATAGTCTAGCTCACTACCGCTGTAGAGTGAATCTCCGCACATACCCCACACTAAGCACATCTCACTATGAGCTGTCCTTGCAACAACACCTCACCAAAAGCAAATCCAACCAT